CCCCCAACAGAGGGGCAGACAGCAGCCCTAAGGGGTCTCCCTCACCCCTGGTGCGCAAGGACAGCTCCTTTGAGGACCTGGAACAGTTCCTGGCCACTTCAGAGAGGTGGGGCCAGGGCCCTGGGCGGGGGACTGACCCTCAGGCCTCAGGGGTGAAGGAGGAGCCGCTGCTGGAGCCGCTGAAGAGCATCGTGAAGGACATTCACAACGCGGTCGGTGAGGGCTCCGCAGGACAGGCGGGCGGTGGGAGCTGCTCGACGGAAGGGCCAGCAGCTGGGACGGCAGCCAGGCCAGCCCTGACCTGCAGGGCCCTCCCCTCCACCTTCCTCTGAGCCACACATCCTGCCAACAGGCAGGCCCCCTCCTGCCTCCGGAGCAGCTGAGCTGGCTGTGGTCCGAGTTCCCTCAGTCCCTGCTGTGTCCTCCTGGGCTGCCCGGGGATCACGGCCGGGCCCCCCAGTCTGTGGTTGGGAAGGTCCACCCCCAGGGCCTCGCAGCCAGTGGCCCTGCTGTCTCCTAGGGCTGGACTCACGTCCTTCCAGACCAAGGGCTGCCAGGCACAGCCCGAGGCTGCCGGTGGCTCCTCCCCAGAGTGTGTGGGCTCCCTGCGGTGGGCCCAGGTGGCCAGTGACTTCCCAGTCCCAAGGAGGGAGCTGTCAGGGTTTCTCAGAACCAGAACCGAAGCCCGACAGTCAGGGGCCCTGTTCTCACTGTGGGCCACGCTCTCCAAGGGACCGGGCAGGTCCCCCATCCCAGGAGGTCCCCCTCCTCCCTGGGTGGTTCCCATCTCTTTGAGCAGGTCTCCCTCACCCCCAGGAGGGTGCCCCATCTGTCTGGGCCTCAGATTTCTTGTCCTTGGATTTGCTTCTAAAGCTTCTCAGGCTCCTTTCCCGAAAGAGCCTGTTTCCTGCTCTCCTTCCCAGGGGGTGAGGGGCTGGGTAAGACCCTGTGAGCACCCAGGGATGAGGGCCCAGACTCCGGCTCTGACCCTAGGCCACGTAGACACAGGAGGGGGTGATGTGAGGGGAGTGGAGGGAGGGCCAGGCAGACAGCCCTCCCCACTGAGCCAGGACACTAACTGTGGCCCCAGCCACACGGAGGCTGGCTCTGGGAGGCAGAGAGAAGGTGGTGGGTGAGGACTCGTCGGGGTGACGTCCCGGGGCTGCCAGCTGGCCCACAGTGCCGTGTGTCCGCTCTGCCCCGGCAGACAGGCTGCTCTCGCTGACCCTCCTGGCTTTCGAAGGCCTCAACACGGCCGTCTCCAAGGACCGCTGCCTGGCCTGCATCGAGGAGCCCTTCTTCTCCCCACTGTGGCCCCTGCTGCTGGCCCTCTACAGGTGCGTCCCAGCCCCAGGCCCCTCCAGGCTCCCGTGTGTCACCGCCCTCCCCATCCCGGCCACAGCTGTGACTGCTTCCTGTGCTTTCCTCCGAGGCATCCTCAGCTTTGCCCGTGGTGGTGGCGCGTCCACCCTCCTGGGACTGGGGGCAGGGCCAGCTCGCCCCACCCTGCCTGTCCCGGGCAGGGTCCCTTGGGCAGCCGAGCCTGGCCTCTCTCCGCCGCAGGAGTGTGTACCGCCCCCGGGAGGCTGCCCTGAGCAGGAGCATGGAGCTCTACAGTAATGCACCCCCAGCAGCCCTCGGCATCCCCCCTAAACTGCTCCCTCGGGACCCTGAGGCCTCAGGAGCCGGCACCTACCCCTACGGCGCTGCTGCCCAGGAGCTGGGGCTGCTGGTCCTGGAGTGCTGCCCCCAGAAGAAGCTGGACTGCATTGGTGAGAGGGGGCGTGGTCACACCAGCCTTGGGGAGGAGGGCGGAGGGGGCGGGGTCACACCAGCCATGGTCCTGTCCCAGCTGGCGACCTGGCCTGTGTGCCTTGTCTGAGCTGCGAGTCCTCCTCCTGGCGAACGGGGTGTGGCCCATGGGACATGAGTGGTGTGAGCACGATGCCCACGGGAGGGATCACCCACACGATGGGTGTGGGGCAGTGCTGGGGCTCTTCTGGCTGCCCCTGCCCTCACCCCAAACCTGGCTTCTGTGCTGCAGTGCGGGCCCTGCGGGTCATCTGTGCCTGTGCTGAAGGCTACTACTGTGCCCAGGAGCCTGCACCCGAGGCGAGACCACAGCCTGGCGCGGCTGCCATGTGAGTCCAGGGGGGGGCACGGCCTGGGTGCATGATGGCCAGGGACCCTCTGGCTAATCTGATGATATTCAGGGTTGCTCACCCCAGATGCATGTGCTTCGTCCCTCCATGCACACCTGGGGGAAGCTGCCTGAGCTTAGTGAAGAGCCTGCTCCCTGCCCTGAGCCCAGCCCTGGGGTTCCTGCATCGTCCCTGCCCCACCTCCCCAGGTGCTGCAGCCGGGGGCTCATGCCTGGTCCTGCCTGTGGCCTGCAGCCTGTTCTGCTGCCCATCTGGGACTGGCGTTCCCATAGCATAGCCCCTGCAGGGGCGCTGCCTCCTGCCACCCTGCCCCTGGGACCAGGGTCACCCTGAAGGCACGGATCATTGCAGCCTGGTGGGCAGGCTGTGGCACCTCCCCACACCCAGGGGCCTGCAGGTGACGGGCAGGTAGAAATCAGAGCTGAGTGTGAGGTTGGCAGAAAAGTGGGAGACAGTGTCACCCCCACCCACCCCAGGGCCAGGGTGCTGGGCCTCAGTGCAGGGTCGCAGGGCTTTCAGCTGGCTCCACAGGCCCCCTTCACCAGTTTGTCATCTGGTTCCAAGCGAGTCCCTGCAGTGGCTCAGCTCCAGGACTGGAAGTGTTAGCCTGGCTGTAGCCCTATAGCTGTCTCTGTGGGCACCTGCCTGTGTCCCTGCAGCTGTGCGGTGCCCACGGGACATGGGGGCAAGGCACGAGCAGGAGCCCATGGTGTGAGAGGCCTTCCTATTAGACGCAAGCCACAGTCTGCCCTCTTGTTCTCCCCAGAGAGCACTGGTCATGGGGCTCTGGGGTTGAGGTTCTGGGGAGCCCACCGGGCCTCACTCCCCTCTCAGCTCAGACTCCTCTCACAGAGGGTCAGGCCTGTATGCTCAGCTGAGTGACACGTGATTTCAGGAGTGAGCAGGCTGCCCGGGACCTGGGCCTTCCCCTCCATCTCCTGCTCCCCAGGCTGGGGCAAGCTTATGCGGTTAAAGCTGCCCCACCTGCCCCCGTGGGGCTTGTTTGGGGCTGGCCCAGCTGCTCCTAGGTGCTCTGGGCGGATGGGTGCAGAGAGAGCAGCAGTAAACGCAGGACCACACCGGGGGCTGAGCTGGGGCTTCGCAGTTTGGGGATGGAGCAGCCCCATGGGCCCCCAGAGCCTCGGGCCAGCCTGCCTCTGTCAACAGCGGTGCCGACGACCTCCTGCCCATCCTGTCCTTCGTGGTGCTGAGAAGCGGCCTCCCCCAGCTGGTGTCGGAGTGCGCTGCTCTGGAGGAGTTCATCCACGAGGGGTAGGGCCCCGGCTGGGGAGCCGGGCAGGCACCGTACACATGGCCTTTGACCCCTCCCCGAGCCTCTCTCTGCCACCCCTCGCTCAGCACACCCCTCGCTCAGCACACCCCTCGATTGGGGGTGGGGGACAGTGGGGCAAGCTCTGAGCAGCATCTACCTGGGGAGTGGGCTGTCCCCCCACCCAGCCTCCCTGACAGCCCCTGGTCCTGCCCCCCAAGGGCAGGTGCCCCTTCTAGAACTCCGGGGCCTCCTTCAGTGACAGACGCTGTCCCACAGGTATCTGATTGGAGAGGGGGGCTACTGCCTGACGTCCCTGCAGAGCGCCCTGAGCTATGTGGAGCTGCTGCCCCGGGGGGCCCTGGGCAAGTAGAGGAGATGGGACACCTCACCGGGCGGGCGCTGCAGCTTCCGCCACATCCTACCCTACATCTGCCCGAGGAGCTGCTCCTGGCAGGTCGGGGCCCAGCGGAGCCAGGCCCTTCTCTTCCCTGTTTCGGCCTCCGAGAGGCCCCCTTGCTCTCCCGAGAGAGCTGTGGGTTCCCCTGGGGGGCACAAGGGCAGAGCCAGGGCATGGGCCTTCTGCCCCCGTGACAGCTCCTGAGCCAGTTTCTTGTCTGAATCAAGAAGAGAGCCTGTCAGCCCCTGCCCTGGAGGCCGGGGCCCAGTGGTTTGAAACTGCCTGTTTATTTATTGGACACGACCACTCCTCTCCCCTGGAGGCCCAGGCGTCCCCGGGGGACCTGCCCACGCCTGCGGACTCTGAGCCACACCCCCCCCCATGGCAGTGGGCATTGAACACCCCCTGGCAAGTTCCTGCCCCTGCACATCCCCTCTGGGTGGGTGGGAAGCTGAGGCCTGCTCTGACTCTACGTGCCCCCAGTAGCCACTGACCTGCTGAAAATAAAGAGGTCACTGATGTCTCCCTCCGTGTAGCTTGCTTGCTCCCCACTCCTGTGGGCAGAGGCCTAGGCAGGACAGCACCCGCTCTACTGACCAGCAAGAGCCCGACTCCCAGAGACCGATGAGGTCCACGACACCAGGCCTGCCCCCCACGCCCGCTTTGCAGGAGTGGGACAGCCTGGGGTGGGCCCCTGGGACAGGATGCTCTGCAGGGCCTGCCTGGTGGGTAACAGGGTTGGAGGTCACACCTGGGCAGAACACTGTTTTGTACTCCAGGTGAAGCACACGGGGGCACCCTGAGCAGTGGCACCTCCGACTTCAGGAGAGGAGAGGGCAGGTGTCTGGGCCCAGCCATGGGCAGCACCTGTCAGTGAAGGAGGACCCCCCCCCCAGCACCCTCGAGGCTACAGGGGTGGGGGGCAGGGCCCCAGCACAGCAGGTGCTGGGCGGGGGAGCAGTGCTAGGTTCTTCAGGAAAAGCTCTTACAAAAACAGGAACAGCTGGCATTTATCGGGCCAGATCGTGTTCTAGGGCTTCTGCAGGTTTGCAACAGCCACGGAGAGTGAAGTCCCTTCGCCGCCCACATACTATGGCGAGGGGCCTGGGTCTGAGCCCAGCCAGCCCGTGGGCACCTGGGGCCGCCGTCCTGTCAGGATCCCCGTGGGCTGGAGGCCGCTGCC